TGGTGACTAATACAATGACAATGTTGTGGCCCATTTTCGGAAAATCTTAAAGGAACACGAGGAAAAGAGCTCATGATGACCAGAGATTGTGCAAACAGAAGAGGCCAGACCTGAGCTGGTCTGAGTGGCATGAAAAAAAGGGAAGTACCCTAAGATAAAGGACTTGTAAAATTTAAGTCCCATGAAGGTGAATCCCCCTTGCAAACCCAATAATAAATTCACCATGTTCTCCCATCTTAGAAATCAAGACACAGGAATCTTCAATTAAGAGGTAAGTGGTACTTGTGCATGAGAGTACCCTAGTGGCTTGTCCGTAAATAAAATTCACATTTCATATCCCAAATTTTTCACATTGGAGCTTCATAAGGTAACGGTTAATTTGCATGTCTATTTCTTTTGGAGAAAATGTAATTTCACATAACGATATTTGTCCTAAGTTGAGTGTCAGGAACGGATTAATTTGTTCCATTCATTGTCTCATCACAAATAATCACCACACACACACATTCGCCAACCATACACCAGCAACGATTAACATCTACCGAGTCCATTTACACACACACCACACAGAGCTGAGTCTTGACCCCTGCAACTACAATTAGGCGAGTACACACACACAGTGGTGCCTCGAGTTACAAACTTATTTCATTCCAGAAGGCTGTTCGAGTGCCGATACTAAATGAATTTGTTCCCATAAGGAATAATATAAATTATATATAAAGTGATGACGTAACATTTATAAGCAAAGCAACAGATATGAACACCTTCAGGAAAAACCAGTTTGACGGACTCAAGTTCTGGAGGTGGTAAGTACAGGGTCAGCACTCTAAAGGAGACTTGGAAAATGTTGAAGTTAGGAGGGCATCTGAAGTGTGGTGTCAGCACACATTTTCTTAAGATTACATTTATTAGTGTACTCCACAAGATGCTGGAGCAAAAACTTGAGGTGCAGGCATCAAAGCTGGTGGATCAGAGTACCTTAGAAAGGAATCAAAGAGGGACTGTTATGGAAAAGACATGCCCTTTTTCCCAAATGTTCACAAAATGCTACTATCCCTCCTTGCTCACAATGCATCCACCCCCCAATATTTACCAAATAAACCACTACCCTCTGTTGCTCATGAAACAACCCCCTCCATCCCTCCCAATGCTGATCACATTACCTCTTATTATTATCATTATTATAATCATAACTAAGTGCTGAACCCACAAGGGTTCAGCTCATCACTGCTTCACTGCTCACCACAACACCTGCCACCATAACATGCTCTGCCCTCCATTGCTTGCTATACATCCACCTCCACCACAAAATCCCACTGCTCTCCACTGCTCACAATATTACTACAACATGCACCCATGCTTAAGTCCTAGGTAGTCAGTCCTCCAAATACTTTTTTTTCTTAACACAATGGCTGTCTCCCACCCAGGCAGGGTGACCCAAAAAAAGAAACACTTCACCATCATTTACACATCACCGTCTTGCCAGAGGCATGCAGATACGACAGTTTAAATGTCCCTCCTAACAACAAATATCCCAAATCCTCCAAATAAGCAGGAGTTAAATAACATAAGAGGTCCTGCAAAATACAATAGTATGTCTGCACAATAAGTCTGATTCAAATTTAGACTCATTTGTTTTAGTTCGCCATATCTCATTAACCCTTTCACTGTCCAAACACCCAAAATTTAAATTGCTCTCAATGTAAAAAAAGAGAGATTCTTTTCCCAATGGTAATGACAACAAAAGTACAAAATTTGATGGATAACTTGTGGAACTATGCTCTTGCAAAGTTAGCAATCTTGGCGCCATTTACACATCGGCGATTTTGCCCACTTTGAGCCCTATTTTCAGCCAATTCCAGTCAACCAAACTCATAGCTATTTTCGCTAGAACTCCTCTTGTTTTATCAAGAGAGTACAAGAAACTGCCCATTTACCGATTTCAACTACCCAATAAAGTGATCAGAAATTGGTAATTCAGCCAATTTCATACACAATTCAAGGAAGGCTAATTTCAAAATAGGATCCAGAATTAACAATGGAAACATTCCTAGCACTAAAATAACATTTTCTTTGTTCATTAGGCACATCTCTAGGTCCCTCTTATATTACACTTGCTTTCCATTTTGAATTTTTATTCATTCAAAAAAAGTATTTACTGTTATGCAGACTACTGTTATTTTAAAAATAGTATAAATAATATCAGCGCATTTGTGAAAGCATATTAGACCCACCAGTTTGTGTGTATTGGACGTGTGATGTGATCTGTCTATTCTTGAACATCGGCAAAAAATGAACATTTCCACTACTTAGAGCTCAAACTCGAAGTACTTTTAGTGCCTAAACCATTCAAAATCATCTCTAGTTCTGTAACATATCTTCCATTCTATCAAATGAGAACAAGGAAATGAGAATACAATCATAAATACCATACGAAAATACGCTGCAAAGTCACCGTTTTAAATGAAAAACACATTCGGAGTTTTATTTCCTCATTATGCACTGCATGCTGCAGGATTTTTTTTTATACTGCCCACACTGATAACTCAGACCCATTCTCTCATATGGAGGCCTACCAGTTTTCTCCTGCAAGATTAGAAGCTGCTAGAATTTTGGTGTACTATTACAGGACCGACACTGGCTTGCAAGCCGTAATATTTTGGGAGTGATAGTGAAAGGGTTAATGTGCAGGCATTGTATTTCCCACCTCCAAGACTCAAGCCCGGCTAACCGATTTCCCTGAACCCCTTCACAAAATATTACCCTGCTCACACTCATAAACAGCTCATAAGGTCCCAAAAAACCATTCGTCTCCACTCCTAACACGCTCACACATGCCTGCTACATGACCTGGCCCCTTTCGCACAAAACCTTTTCTACCCCCTCTCTCCATCCTTTCCTAGGACAACCCCTACCCCTCCTCCTCTCCACAACAAATTGATACACCCTCCAAGTCATCCAATTTTGCTCCATCCTCTCTAAATGACCAAACCACCTCTACAACCCCTCTTTAGTCCTCTGAATACTTTTAGTAACTCCACACCTCCTAGTAATTTCCACACTATGAATTCTCTGCATAATATTTACACCACACACTGCCCTTAGACATGACATCTCCACTGCCTCCAGCCTCCTCCTTGCTGCAGCATTTACAACCCCTGCTTCATCCCCATATAAGTGTTAGTGCCACTATACTCTCGTACATTCCCTTCTTTGCTTCAATGGATAACGTTTTGTCTCCGCATATACCTTAATGCACCACTTCCCTTTTTTTCCTTCATCAATTTTATGGTTAACCTCATTCTTCATAAACGCATCCACTGACAAGTCTATTCCCATTCATGTGAAAACATTCACCCCCTCCATACTTCCTCCCTCCAATGTGATATCCAATTTTTCTTTACTTAACATGTTCGAGATCCTCATCCCCTTACTCTTATCTATGTTCACTTTCAACTTTCTTCCTTAATTAATTACAGTGCTATTTCACATCAGCTGGTTGAAAGTTGACAGGTAGGACCAAGATCTAGGGTTTCCCCATCCCTACAAAACTGAATAGATAATCACAACGTTGTAAACTTATTTTGAAAACTTACCACCCAACATTCTTTACCATTCTCCGAATTTACATGTCCAGCAGCAAGCATATACTTGTACAAAGATCTTGAAATATACTAAAAAAAAATTTTTTTTTTTAGTGCACATTGCCACTACATTTGAAGTTCTGATAAGTACCTTAAAATCTCTACCAGAAAAAAGAAAAAGTTTATGAACCATTCCAGGTTTTTCTTAACCCTTTGACTGTCGCAACCCCCAATCCTGAGGTGTCTCCTGGTGTCGCAAAATTTAAAAAAAAAAATTATTTTTTCTTATGAAATGATAGAGAATCTTTTCCCGATTGTGATGACACCAAAAAAAAAAAAAAAAAAGAAATTTGATGGAAAACTGACGGAATTATGCTCTCGCAAAGTTAGCGGCCTCGGCACTGTTTACAAATCGGTAATTTCGCCCAATTTGGGCCCTATTTTCGGCTAATTCCATTGTTCCAGTAGCCCAAACTCATAGCTATTTCTTTAGGACTCCATTTTTTATATCGATTGAGTACAAGAAACTGCCCATTTACCGATTTCAACTACCTAATAATGTGGTCAGAAATTTGCAATTTGGCCAATTTCACGAAAACTAAAAAATATGACAATTTCAAAATAAGGTCCAGAATGAACAATGCAGACATTCCTGGCTCTAAAATAACATTTTCTTTGCTCATCAGTCATGTCTACAGGCCCCTCTGATATTACTCTTGCTTTCTATTTTCAATTTTTATTCAAACAAAAAAATAGAAGACTTACTATTATGCAGACTACTGCAATACTGTAATAATTGTATAAATAACATCAACCCATTCATGACTGCAAATTAGAATGGCTAGTTGGACATTTATTGGACAATGGCATCATTTGTTTACTTTTGAACATTGGCAAAAATCAAACATTTCCCTTACTTTGAGCTCCATTTCCAGGTTCTTTTTATAGTAAAATCAATCAAAATCACATCTATTTCTATAATATGTTTTCCATTCTATCAAATGAGACCAAGAAAATGAGAATACAACCATAAATACTATACAAAAATAGACCACAAAGTCGGCATTTTAATTAAAAAAAAAAAACGGTCGGAGTTTTTTTTTCTCATTATGCACTGCGTGCACCAGGATTTTTTTTATATGGTGCACACTGACCACACAGACCCATTCTCTCACATGTGGGCCTACCAGCTTTCTCCTGCTTGATTTGAAGCCGCTAGAATTTATGAGTATATATACGTCAAACACGGTACCTCGTAAGACGTATATATACGGCCGCGACAGTCAAAGGGTTAAAGGAATAAAACTTTTAACAAAACCAATGCAGAATGTAAAAGTTTAATGATGCTGTGTATGAAACTTATCAGTGAATCTCTGAAAGCCATTTTAAAACTAAGCCAAAAAACAACAAACGCACCTAGATCTGTATGTAACTCTGGGTCTCTGATAAGGCTCACGAACATATGGATCACTTCGACCACTGTAGTAATCTTTAGGGTACGCACTGCCATACCCATAATTATGAGCAGCTGGGTACTGTCTTCCATACCCACCAGTATAGGCACCATACCTGAAATTAAAGAAATGAGTTTCATAATTTTGTTCAACCTTATCTACGGCTTTCAGGTGTCAATGTAATGAATAAAAATTAATATGAAATGTCAAAGATTGAAAAAAAAAGCTCTTAACATGGATGAGGAACTGACAACGAGTTTTTTTTTTTTTTTTTTTTTAACAAGTCGGCCGTCTCCCACCAAGGCAGGGTGACCCAAAAAGAAAGAAAATCCCCAAAAAGAAAATACTTTCATCATCATTCAACACTTTCACCTACCTCACACACACATAATCACTGTTTTTGCAGAGGTGCTCAGAACACAACAGTTTAGAAGCATATATGTATAAAGATACACAACATATCCCTCCAAACCGCTAATATCCCGAAACCCCTCCTTTAGAGTGCAGGCATTGTACTTCCCATTTCCAGGACTCAAGTCCGGCTATATAAAAATAACCAGTTTCCCTGAATCCATTTACTAAATATTACCGTGCTCACACTCCAACAGATCGTCAGGTCCCAAATACCATTCGTCTCCATTCACTCCTATTGAACACGCTCAGGCATGCCTGCTGGAAGTCCAAGCCCCTCGCCCACAAAACCTCCTTTACCCCTTCCTTCCAACCTTTTCAAAGACGACCCCTACCCCGCCTTCCTTTCCCTACAGATTTATACGCTCTCCATGTCATTCTACTTTGATCCATTCTCTCTAAATGACCAAACCACCTCAACAACCCCTCTTCAGCCTCTAATACGTACTTTTATTAACTCCACACCTCCTAATTTCCACACTACGAATTTTCTGCATAATATTTACACCACACATTGCCCTTAGACAGGACATCTCCACTGCCTCCAACCACCTCCTCGCTGCTGCATTCACAACCCAAGCTTCACACCCATATAAGAGTGTTTGTACTACTATACTTTCATACATTCCCTTCTTTGCCTCCATAGATAACGTTTTTTTGTCCCCACATATACCTCAATGCACCACTCACCTTTTTTCCCTCATAAATTCTATGATTAACCTCATCCTTCATTAATCCATCCGCCGACACGTCAACTCCCAAGTAAGTATCTCAAAACATTCACTTCTTCCATACTACTCCTCCCCAATTTGATATCCAATTTTTCTTCATCTAAATCATTTGATACCCTCTTTTCTATGTTCACTTTCAACTTTCTACCTTTACACACACTCCCAAACTCATCCACTAACCTTTGCAATTTTTCTTTAGAATCTCCCATGAGCACAGTATCATCAGCAAAAAGCAACTGTGTCAATTCCCATTTTGTATTTGATTCCCCATAATTTAATCCCACCCCTCTCCCAAACACCCTAGCATTTGCTTCTATTACAACCCCATCTATAAATATATTAAACAACCATGGTGACATTACACATCCCTGTCTAAGACCTACTTTTACTGGGAAGTAGTCTCCTTCTCTTCTACGCACCCTAACCGAGCCTCAATATCCTCATAAAAACTCTTTACAGCATTTAGTAACTTACCACCTATTCCACATACCTGCAACATCTGCCATATTGCTCCCCTATCCACTCTATCATATGCCTTTTCTAAATCCATAAATGCAATAAAAACTTCCCTACCTTTATCTAAATACTGTTCACATATATGCTTCACCTAGGTAGTAGGTTGGTAGACAGCAACTGCCCAGGGAGGTACTACCATCCTGCCAAGTGAGTGTAAAACGAAAGCCTGTAATTGTTTTACATGATGGTAGGATTGCTGATGTCCTTTTTTCTGTCTCAAACATGCAAGATTTCAGGTACGTCTTGCTACTTCTACTTACACTTAGGTCACACTACACATACATGCACAAGCATATACAGTGGACCCCCGGTTAATGAACTTTTTTCATTCCAGTAGTATGTTCAGGTGCCAGTACTGACCGAATTTTTTCCCATAAGGAATATTGTGAAGTAGATTAGTCCATTTCAGACCTCCAAACATACACGTACAAACGCACTTACATAAATACACTTACATAATTGGTCGCATTTGGAGGTGATCGTTAAGCGGGGGTCCACTGTATATACTACACACACCTGTCTGGGTTTTCTGCTATTTTCTTTCCAGTGCATGTTGTAAGAGGCGACTAAAATGCCGGGAGCAAGTGGCTAGTAACCCCTTCTCCTGTATAAATTACTAAATTCAAAAAGAGAAACTTTTTTTTTTTGGGCCCACCCTGCCTCGGTGGGATACGGCCGGTTTGTTGAAAGAAGAAAGATATATGCTTCAATGTAAACACTTGATCTACACATCCCCTACCCACTCTGAAACCTCCTTGCTCATCCGTAATTCTACATTCTGTCTTACCTCTAATTCTTTCAATTATAACCCTACCGCACACTTTTCCTGGTATACTCAGTAAACTTATTCCTCTATAATTTCTATAATCTCTTTTGTCCCCCTTCTCTTTATATAAAGGGACTATACATGCTCTCTGCCAATCCCTAAGTACCTTCCCCTCTTTCATACATTTATTAAACAAAAATACCAACCACTCCAACACTATATCCCCCCCTGCTTTTAACATTTCTGTCATGATCCCGTCAGTTCCAGCTGCTTTACCCCCTTTCATTCAACATAATGCCTCATACACCTCCCCCACACTCATATCCTGTTCTTCTTCACTCCTAAAAGATGGTACACCTCCCTGGCCAGCGCATGAAATTACGGCTTCCCTTCCTTCGTCAACATATAAAAGTTCCTCAAAATATTCTCGCCATCTACCCAAAACCCCCATCTCCCCATCTACTAACTCCCCTACTCTGTTTTAACTGACAAATCCATTCGTTCTCTAGGCTTTCTTAACTTGTTTAACTCGCTCCAAAATTTTTTCTTATTTTCATTAAAATTTCTTGACAGTGCCTCTCCCACTCTATCATCTGCTCTCCTTTTGCACTCTCTCACCACTCTCTTCACCTTTCTTTTACACTCCATATACTCGACTCCTTATAACACTTTTGCTTTGTAAAAATCTCTCGTAGGCTAACTTTTTCTCCTTTATCACACCCTTTACTTCATCATTCCACCAATCACTCCTCTTTCCTCCTGCACCCACAAGAAGTAAACTTTCAGCTTTTAAAAGGAAATGCTGAATATTTTCCCTTTTATTAAAGTACATGTGTAGAAGTGTATTACCAGAAAAAAACAGGAAAGGGTGTTAAAAATGAATGGCAACAATAATGTCTAAAAGTGAATGCTATAACCAACAGTGAGTTTAGTAGCATGTTCTACCTTAAACAGTAAACACTACTATATCAGAAAATATTGTAATAATTAGGGGTGTAACAAAAAAATCAGTATATATATATTGACTAATACTGATGGTATAGGTATCAGTGAATATGAGGAGGTATTGGTTAAGTCTGATGGTATTGGAGAATATCAGAAATTTTTGGTGGTATCGGCCTAAAATCGAGTATTGGTTACGATGGCTTGAAAAAAAAAAAACTCAACTTTGCTTAACCCTTAAATGGTCCAAACAAATTGGCGTTCAAATTCGTAGTGCTACAAAAGTAGATCTACTTTTTTTTACATATTTTAAACTAAATACTTGTTGCAATGCGCATTCATCTTGCCAAACTGACATCGCTGGGTTCTTATTTTCTATTTTTGACCAATCACAGGGCTTCTTTGAGTCGCTCCAGCTAAATGATAGTGGTGTCCATTGGTTGAGAGACAAAAGTGTAGACACTCTGAGCTTCGTGGTGAGAAAACCTGTTTATCTGCTTATTTATCCTCACATATGCTCAAATTTCACCACTTCACAATGTCGGTATTTGCTTTTATTTCTAGTGCAAAAATAAAGATGTGAGGCATGTTTAGATAAAAAAAATAACTTGTGTATGATGCATATAGTTAATGTACGATGTAAGTGAAATGCTGGCTATGAAAAAGATGAATAAATTTTAATAACTGCCTGATACCTATAAACTTTTCCTGTACAATAAATATTTATTTATATATTTTTTTCTTACACTGCAGATATACATTCAGTAGTTGTGTGGGTGTGCTGAGGTTGTTTTTATTGTTCTTAGAGATCCATCACGAGTTGTTTCATGGTGCTGCCTCCCAGAAGATATCAAAATATATCTGTTTCTGATAACGAGTCTGAACCAGAGCCTGATGACAAAGATGAGGAAGAAGCTAAACCAGCCAAAAAGCCAAAATACTTGACACACAATCATTGCAGCACAAAGAAAGATCAGTTACATCCTCTTTTGCCTTTCTCACATGCAAGAAAAATCCAAGCATAAAACTGTTTCATCGACTTTGTAACAAATCCATTATCCATTAATCCCCATTTAACAATCCCATCTATAAGTATGGCAAACAACCATAGTAACACTGCACATTCCTGCCTAAGGCCTATTCTTAATGGAAAATAATTCCCCCCTATATAAACTGACATGAAGTTCACTACTGGCATAAAAATATTCAAAATATGACCCCCAGATCAAGTTAGTCAAATAAAAGTTATAAAGAAAGACCAGGAATTGGAGCTCAACCCTTACAAATTCAACTAGATAAATATTAATAAAATGGACACAGACAAAAATTCAGCTGCCAATCCATAATTACCGAGCATCAGGAATATGTTGTGGATATGCTGCTACATAGGGGTCTGGGCGATCATCCTTCCTACCATGCTTATTTCCTGGATACTCTGGAAGCTGTGGACGTTTCGGATCACGGAGATAATTATTGAAGTAATCCACCTGCAAGATAAAATGTTTTAAGTAAATATAAAATGTCAACCCTTGTAGGTAGTAGGTTGATAGACAGCAACCGTCCAGGGAGGTACTACCGTCCTGCCAAGTGAGTGTAAAACGAAAGCCTGTAATTGTTTTACATGATGGTAGGATTGCTGGTGTCTTTTGTCTGTCTCATAAATATGCAAGATTACAGGTATGTCTTGCTACTTATACTTACACTTAGGTCACACTACACATACATGTACAAGCATATATATACACACCCCTCTGGGTTTTCTTCTATTTTCTTTCTAATTCCTGTTCTTGTTTATTTCCTCTTATCTCCATGGGGAAGTGGAACAGAATTCTTCCTCTGTAAGCCATGCGTGTCGTAAGAGGCGACTAAAATGCCGGGAGCAAGGGGCTAGTAACCCCTTCTCCTGTATATATTACTAAATTTAAAAGCAGAAACTTCAGTTTTTTCTTTTTGGCCACCCCACCTCGGTGGGATACGGCTGGTATGTTGAAAGAAGAAAATGTCAACCCCTTTTTCTTTTAGCCAGAGAAGATGACAAGAAAAATCACAGGCTTGTGGTTTCCTATTTGTTATATAATCATCACACTCTTTTACAATACTTTATTGGTACTGTAAATTGTTATATCCATTATCAACTTCTGATCTTTCTACCATTATCAGGGGTGAACACTGCTTTTAATATGGGGATATAAATTGCTATTAGAGTACAGTTAAACCGCACTGTACAGAGTCTCACTTTAGTGTTTTTCAATTATACCCAGTCTTCATTTACTAAGATTTCCTACAGTAGATATATTCACCACTCACTATAAGCTAAGGACGACAATATTTTAAGGCAAGTAATGTGTGTACTGTATATACATATTTTAGGCCTAGTTATATTGCTCAATTAATATAATAGCGTAAATGTGTTATCAGGCTTTCATATACATTCAAAAGTGAAAAAAAAAAATATGATCCACTTTACAGCAATTTTCGGTTTACAGTAGTAGACTGGACCCTAACCTGCTGTAAAAGCGGGACCCTCTTGTACTGGCAAACATTAACCTAGTCATTAGCCTTTGTAGAAGACTGAGGAAGGTTAAGCCCTTTCTGGCCAAGTGTAAAATAAAATGCCATTTTCAATACCTATAAAAGTCACTTCCTGCATTGTTTAGCACTAATTAAAATAAAGGTTGGATGTGAAAAGTGGGTTATAGTAAGCGTATATGCACCTGGAGAACAGAGAAGTATAGAGGAGAGAGAGAGAGATTTTGTTTAATGTTGAGTGAATGCGTGGGGAGATTTGAACCAAGTGCGAGAGTAATGGTGGCTGGGGATTTCAATGCTCAAGTGGGCAAAAATGTTGTGGAGAGAATAGTAGGTAAATTTGGGGTGCCAGGGGTAAATGAAAATGGAGAGCCTTTAATTGAGCTATGTGTAGAAAGAGGTTTGGTAATAAGTAATACATATTTTATGAACAAGAGGATAAATAAATATACAAGGTATGATATAGCACATAATGAAAGTAGGTTGTTAGATTATGTATTGGTGGATAAAAGGTTGATGGGTAGGCTCCAGGATGTATACGTTTATAGAGGGGCAACTGATATATCGGATCATTATTTAGTTGTAGCTACAGTTAGAGTAAGAGGTTTACCTGGAGAGAGTTCCGGGGGTCAACGCCCCCGCTGCCCGGTCTGTGACCAGGCCTCCTGGTGGATCAGAGCCTGATCAACCAGGCTGTTGCTGCTGGCTGCACTCAAACCAACGTACGAGCCACAGCCCGGCTGATCCGGAACTGACTTTAGGTGCTTGTCCAGTGCCAGCTTGAAGACTGCCAGGGGTCTGTTGGTAATCCCCCTTATGTGTGCTGGGAGGCAGTTGAACAGTCTCGGGCCCCTGACACTTATTGTATGGTCTCTTAACGTGCTAGTGACACCCCTGCTTTTCATTGGGGGGATGGTGCATCGTCTGCCAAGTCTTTTGCTTTCGTAGTGAGTGATTTTCGTGTGCAAGTTCGGTACTAGTCCCTCTAGGATTTTCCAGGTGTATATAATCATGGGAAAAGAGGAAAATGGCAACAACAAGCAAGAGGGAGGTGAAAGTGTATAAACTAAGGGAGGAGGAAGTTCAGGTGAGATCTAAGCAACTATTGGCAGAAAGGTGGGCTGGTGCAAAGTATGAGTAGTGGGGGGAGGGGGGGTTGAAAAGGGTTGGAATAGTTTTAAAAATGCAGTATTAGAATGTGGGGCAGAAGTTTATGGTTATAGGTGGGTGGGTGCAGGAGGAGAGAGGAGTGATTGGTGGAATGAAGTAAAAGGTGTGATAAAAGAGAAAAAGTTAGCTTATGAGAGGTTTTCACAAAGCAGAAGTGTTATAAGAAGAGTAGAGTATATGGAGAGCAAAATAAAGGTGAAGAGAGTGATGAGAGAGTGCAAAAGGAGAGCAGATGATAGAGTGGGAGAGGCACTGTCAAGAAATTTTAATGAAAATAAGAAAATTTTTTGGAGTTAAACAAGTTAAGAAAGCCTAGAGAACGAATGGATTTGTCAGTTAGAAACAGAGTAGGGGAGTTAGTAGATGAGGAGATGGAGGTTTTGGGTAGACGGCGAGAATATTTTGAGAAACTTTTATATGTCGACGAAGGAAGGGAAGCCATAATTTCATGCACTGGCCAAGGAGGTATACCATCTTTTACGAGTGAAGAAGAACAGGATGCGAGGGTGGGGGAGGTGCGTGTGGCATTACGTAGAATGAAAGGGGGTAAAGCAGCTGGAACTGACGGGATCATGACAGAAATGTTAAAAGCAGGGGGGGATATAGTGCTGGAGTGGTTGGTACTTTTGTTTAATAAATGTATGAAAGGGGACGGTACCTAGGGATTGGCAGAGAGCATGTATGGTCCCGTTATATAAAGGGAAGGGGAACAAAGGAGATTGTAAAAATTATAGAGGAATATGTTTACTGAGTATACCAGGAAAAGTGTACGGTAGGGTTATAATTGAAAGAATTAGAGGTAAGACAGAATGTGGGATTGCGGATGAGCAAGGAGGCTTCAGAGTGGGTAGGGGATGTGTAGATCAAGTGTTTACATTGAAGCATATACAGTGGTCCCTCAATAATCGTCCGGCCTAAAAGTCGTCCATTTTGGAAATAGTCCTGTTTTTTCGTCAAAATATTGGCTCGCAAATGGTCCGGTAACTCGCTAATAGTCCTAATATGTAGTCCTTCGTCCCGGATGCGTACTCACGCTCTGAGCCGCATCGGCCTTTCCTTCCCAGCCAGTGTGCCATTATTTACCAGTGAGTGACGGTCCCCTCACATGCTCCTACAAAATATTTCATAATATTCCATTGATTTTAGTGCTTGCAAGTGCTAAATAAGCTACCATGGCTCCAAATAAAGCTTCCAGTACCATCCCTTTGGTAAAGAATGTGAGAAACACATAATTTATGAAAAAGTTTGTAGAAAAATACAAAGATGGTGCAGGGGGGGATATAGTGTTGGAGTGGTTGGTACTTTTGTTTAATAAATGTATGAAAGAGGGGAAGGTACCTAGGGATTGGCAGAGAGCATGTATAGTCCCTTTATATAAAGGGAAAGGGGACGAAAGATATTGTAAAAATTATAGAGGAATAAGTTTACTGAGTATACCAGGAAAAGTATACGGTAGGGTTATAATTGAAAGAATTAAGAGGTAAGACAGAATGTAGGATTGTGGATGAGCAGGGAGGCTTCAGAGTGGGTAGGGGATGTGTAGATCAAGTGTTTACATTGAAGCATATATGTGAACAGTATTTAGATAAAGGTAGGGAAGTTTTTATTACATTTATGGATTTAGAAAAGGCATATGACAGAGTGGATAGAGGAGCAATGTGGCAGATGTTGCAAGTATATGGAATAGGTGGTAAGTTACTAAATGCTGTAAAGAGCTTTTATGAGGATAATGAGGCTCAGGTTAGGGTATGTAGAAGAGAGGGAGAATACTTCCCTGTAAAAGTAGGTCTTAGACAGGGATGTGTAATGTCACCATGGTTGTTTAATATATTTATAGATGGGGTTGTAAAAGAAGTAAATGCTAGGGTGTTCGGGAGAGGGGTGGGATTAAATTATGGGGAATCAAATTCAAAATGGGAACTGACACAGTTACTTTTTGCTGATGATACTGTGCTTATGGGAGATTCTAAAGATAAATTGCAAAGGTTAGTGGATGAGTTTGAGAATGTGTGTAAAGGTAGAAAGTTGAAAGTGAACATAGAAAAGAGTAAGGTGATGAGGGTATCAAATGATTTAGATAAAGAAAAATTGGATATCAAATTGGGGAGGAGTAGTATGGAAGAAGTGAATGTTTTCAGATACTTGGGAGTTGACATGTCGGCGGATGGGTTTATGAAGGATGAGGTTAATCATAGAATTGATAAGGGAAAAAAGGTGAGTGGTGCGTTGAGGTATATGTGGAGTCAAAAAACGTTATCTATGGAGGCAAAGAAGGGAATGTATGAAAGTATAGTAGTACCAACACTCTTATATGGATGTGAAGCTTGGGTGGTAAATGCAGCAGCGAGGAGACGGTTGGAGGCAGTGGAGATATCCTGTCTAAGGGCAATGTGTGGTGTAAAATATTATGCAGAAAATTCGGAGAGTGGAAATTAGAAGGTGTGGAGTTAATAAAAGCATTAGTCAGAGGGCAGAAGAGGGGTTGTTGAGGTGGTTTGGTCATTTAGAGAGAATGGATCAAAGTAGAATGACATGGAAAGCATATAAATCTATAGGGGAAGGAAGGAGGGGTAGGGGTCGTCCTCGAAAGGGTTGGAAAGAGGGGGTAAAGGAGGTTTTGTGGGCAAGGGGCTTGGACTTCCAGCAAGCGTGCATGAGCGTGTTAGATAGGAGTGAATGGAGACAAATGATACTTGGGACCTGACGATCTGTTGGAGTGTGAGCAGGGTAATATTTAGTGTGAAGGGATTCAAGGAAACTGGTTATTTTCATATAGTCGGACTTGAGT